TTGTACATACTATATTTTTCTTTTAATAAAAAAACACTAATTTTGAATAATAATGAAAATATTGTTTCATGCCATTATCTATTTGAAAAAACTTTTAAGGCCCCTGAAATATTTTGCTGCACATAAATAAAACAATAAATATGTCTAAGAAAAGAAATAAAAGCAACAAATCAAAACTTTTTTTGGATCTGGAAATGCTGAACAGTGACTCTTACCATAAAACCATATAAATGTACAAACTACAAATCTGGAGGCACTGTGTAATGAATGATGGAATAAATCTCATTATTGGCTGGAAAAGTGTTGTGGCACTGTATTAAACATATACAGATATTTAGGAAAATATGTTGAAGTCAAAATTATTAGCTCTTCTGTAAATTTTCTCTCCTATTTCCAATATTTCCCAAAAGATGTCAAAGCCAGGGATTTTTTCACACTATTTCCAATAATATTTTTTTTTCTTCTGTAGAAAGTCTTATTTGTTTTATAATAGAATAAAAAGAGATTTTAATGTTTTAAAGCCATTTTAAGGTCAATATTATTAACCCATTTAAGCTATATTTTTTTAGATTGTCTACAGAACAAATCATTATTATAAAATGCCTTGCCTAACCACACTAACCTGCCTAGTTAACCTAATTAACCTAGTTAAGCCTTTAAATGAATTTAAAACTAAATACTAGTGTCTTGAAAAATATCTAGTCAAATATTATTTACTGTCATCATGACAAAGATAAAATAAATCAATTATTAGAAATGAGTTATTAAAACTATTATGATTAGAAATGTGTTGATAAAGTATTTCCATTGAACATAAATTGTTGAAAAAAATATACAGAGAAGCTAATAATTCTGACTTCAACTGTATATTTTTATTATTTATCATTTTTAAGTCAGTTTAAGACATAATAATATTTTCATTCAGTTTAAGACATAATAAAATGTAATGATCTTTGGCTAATCTTTTTGTCAAACTTTCATCTTAAAATGCTTCATACAAAAATAGATACTCTTTTATAACACAGTTATTATTGTTGCCAGTTTTGTCTATTTTGTTCGCAAATTTAGAGACTCTCACTGTTGCTTTAACTCATTTTAATGTTTTGTTTACAATCTATTGACAATTTTCTAATACGTTTACCCATTTTTTATGAAAAAACCCATGCATTGTATTTTATTAATAAGTTAATATAACTTAAATCCCACTACAGTCTTTAATTTAAGTATTTTTTCAGAATAAAATTCAGTCAACATCTTGTTAATGACGAGCAGATTGGAAGTGACTGACATATAGATGTTATTTAGCCTTAAGGGCCTGCTTCGTCTAAAAAACAGAAGCATACAAATATGTTAATGAGGATATGGGAATATATTTTGAGAAACGGAAACCAATGAGTCTTACAAAGGAAAGAACAACTTGACTTGGCAGGTCAGAGGGTGTCGTGATGCAGTGACAAAATATCAAAGCATGGTAAGCTTTCAGAAAGCAAGCAAGCTGATCACTCAAGACAGCCTCATTTATCTCAGCATGGCCCAGGCCCGCTGATGGAGATCCTCTGAGAATACAGAAAGACTGCAAGAGGATGCTGACCACACAAAACTAGCAACCACTTCGCAACCGTAACACAATGACCTTGTGAGAAGCTCGTCACTATCAATGTTAATAAAGACCATCAGTTCAGTCCAGAATGCTTCATAATGCACTGGACCACCCACACATATATCAGTGGCGCCAGAACACGAGTACAACCCACTCATGCTGATTCCTTTGTAATCTTTTAGTATATTTATATTGCGCTTCGATTTGCACCAACCTGCTGGGAACCTCTTGTGTTCTTTGTTTTGGCAGATTAGTGCGACGTGTTTTCCTTGACTGTTTGAAAAAAAGATTCAACTTAATACACGATCCAGCTTTAATGAAGCTCCCTGCGGCGACGAGCGTACACATGCTGAACATCTGCCCTCTGCAGTTTAGCTGTGGATGTTCACAGTGCGTTGTAGTTACAGAGTGAGGCTCAGAAATCTCCCCCGCAGCAGATGAGAAGGACGCACACCGTGCAAACCGAGGGAGACACATTGACTGTATTGATTTTTTTGAGCTCCAAGCTGGAGAATCACCAGCAGCAGCATCAAATCTGTTCCTGCGCCCTGAAGAGTCTCTTCACGCTCTGTAACTTCATCAGCAAACACTACAATCAGGTTTTCTTCCTAAAGTCTCAGATTAGAATGAGCCTCGATTCCATGTGTTGGTTCTCCAGCCTTTATAGGAACAATAGCTGAATGGTAATAATCACTTGAGCTGTGCTTGTGTGGTGCGTTTCTGACTTTGGCCAGCACACTCTCGCAGTAGAAATGGCCCAGAGATTTGCACTGAGCTTTCAGGGAAGTGTTTGTGTGCACAATTTGCAGATCTCAGGAGATTGGAGCTGAAAGAGAGTGGGAGAGAGTGTGATTATATTCCTACAGGGGACGAGTCGCAGTGTGAATGCAGCAGGAAAGATTATTCAACTAATCCCAAACTCCAACAGACAAGAGCAGAGTTTTAAAATGTTACTAACTTCAACCCAAGATTCTTTTCAGTATTTTTTGGCACACACAAAAAAAATGTTTCACCTTAAAATCATTATTTAATCACGCTTTACTTGTTTTAAACTTTTACTTTTATTTTTTTTCTACTGTTGAACACAAAAAAAAAGTCACCAGCGATCAAGCCTGAGCAGATCGCTGATATATACACTGATTGGTAGCGGACTAATCTGCCATTTCATGGACTGCAATATCCAGTCATGCATCACACACACACACACACACACACACACACACACACACACACACACACACACACACACACACACACACAGCTGTTCCTGATCCTGACTGATTGCATACACAGCCGGAGGATTGTCAAAGACTGATTACATGGACTATTTAAGCAGCACAGGCACACACACTAGTTGCTGAGTCTTGTTTACTGCACTTGTGATATTACAACACGTTTCCTTATTCTTGCTTTGTCATGTTTGGACCCTCACCTTGCTTGTATGCTTATTCCTTTCTGCTGCCTGCCTTTTGACCATCTGCCTGCTTATTTGACTTCAACTCTGGATTGCCTGTGTACATCTGCTTACTCCTGGTTTGACCATTGCTTTCCTGACCATTCACTGTTCACTGTGAACTTTTATTTGGACACTTTTGTTGTCTGTGCACATCACGTTACACATAGTATCTGTTTTTTTCCTACTATGGGAGTCAATGGTTATAAGAGTTAAGCTCTCTACAGAATATCTACTTTTCTGTGTATTTTTTTAAGAAACGTTTACATTTTGGGGGGTTAAACTATCCATAAAAAAAAAAGTTTTAAACTTAGATATAGATTTGCAATTGTTTTTCTTTCCTCAATCATTTTTCTTTAACACCTTTTTCTACTTCACTAACCTATTTTTCTCAGCCAACTTCTTTGTCACTTTTATAGTTTTTTTCCTCTCATAAAACTGTTAACTGTTTGCTCAGGCTACTTATTTTAAATGAGCTAAAATAACACAATTCTTGAGTTTTCTTTGGGGCAACCTAATTGTTTTATGTTCAATCCGCTTAAATTTGTACAAACTAATAAGTAAACTAAATTGATTTGTGTTGGGACAGCATGAAGGAATTGTGTGGAAGCCACCATTTTTTACAATGTAAAATTAAAACAATACCCAACCCTAATCTTAAATGATTTATTTATATATTTATTTTTTGGCTGGAATGTCAGGAGATAACATTGACCAGGGAAAAAGATATTCGATATCCATTACAGTAGCTTCCACTCTCGTTCAAAAGTTTCCACATTTGAAGTTCCGGAAATTTTCACAAGTTTTTGTTTTATTTTGCTTCTTTACTGGTCTTCTTCATCTAACATATTTTCTCCACCTTTTCTTCACCTTCTTCATCTTCCTCTTTTAAATTTTTTTTACCTCTTTCTTTATCTTCATTGTCTTTTTCTTCATCTTCGTCTTGTTCTGCACCTTCTTCACTATTTCTTCACTTTTTCACTACTTCACAATGCAATTCTTGTTCTTGTTCTTATTCTTTATCTTTTTCCATACCTTTCTTATTCTGATCATCTTAGAATAATCAGCTTTATCTTCATTTTGTCAATAGCTATTTTTCTATCCACCTATTTTTAAGGAAACGCCAAGATGAACACAACTTTTGAAAATGCGCATAAAAGTATGCGCATAATTGAGTAGGATAAACTTTTTATTCTATAAGAAAAGATGCCTATAAACTGCTATGAAAACACTTTTACCAAACAAATTCCAGTATGCACATTAAAAAAGGTCACATGATTTTGTTATAAGATCATGTGATGATAAAAATGTGTGCGAATGGACAAACCAGCAGGCTGAGCACATTGTAAGACATTTGAAAAGTTGTTTTGGTTATTCTAAAACGCCTTAAACATTTTGGTATTAGTGTTATTATATTATTAATCACCTCCAGAACTGTTAAGAGCATTTATGGTCCATGTCTTCAAACACCATATCGTGTTCAGTACGTGTCAGCATTGTCTTTTGAGGAGCAAGTCATTTATTAAATGAAGAAAAGATTCACACATCTTCTTCTACTCCAGCAAATTACGTATTTACTTTTGATATTTGGTGCCAGTTCATCATGAAGTGACGATTTTGTTCTCTTTGACTTACTGGATGGAAACGCTGCTTTATTCGCATACCTTGTTTCCGATACTACAGATTTGTACATATATTATCTTTGCATCTTTGGATGGAAACATAGCTAATCACCTTCTTTATCATCTTATTCTTCTCAACTACTTTCTTTACCACTTCTTTTTCACTTTCTACATAGGGAAATTGCGTCATGATTATGATGTTATGATGAATGGCATCGTTGCAAATGTGACTGAACTCATTTAATAACAAATGAAACAAAAATCAATGTTTCTTTTTTTAATGTTTCTGTTTTAATACTTGAAAATATCTCATCTCTGTTCACAGCTCATACCGTTTGGATAAGTCTAGCCGGGACATGGTCAAATACCTCACCAACATCACTGCAGATTTAAGGTGAATATGAGCAGATAGATTTGCATGCACAAGTCAACTTAAAGTCACTTCTTTTAACCTAATTTTTTAGTATTCTCTAAAGAGATCTCCAGACACAACTTATTAAAACTATTTAAAGTTTTGAAGAGTAACTTAGCATAATCAGTATGTATGAAATGGCTTTATTCTTTTTCCTTTCTCTAGCTCTTTACTCTATATTCATATTTCAGGAATCCTGTGGTGTGGAATTTTCTAGCTAGTATTCAGTGTAAAGGCACAGTGGCTCATTAAATAGCCTCTAATTTGCATTGTGCTTAATTTTCCAGCGTTGGTTAGATGCTTCACCACTGCCAATTGGACATTTTTAGGTTTGATTGAAGTCAGAAAGAAAGAAGGCTTTAAAAAATGTAAAAGTTTTAGCTCTCAAACTTTTTTCCCATTGTTCACAATAATTATCAAATTTCAAAATAAGATTCAAAAATCACTTTTATGTTTTAAGAATGCAATGTTCTTAAGAGTTCAAACTGTTTTTAAGTAATAATTTTGCATAGCCCATGGTGTTGGAGTGGATAAGGATTTTTTGTAACACTAGAATACATGATATGAATAAGATATATGAATGAATATGTTATATTATATGTTATATCTCTCTGTTAAACAGAAATTGGGGAAAAAATAAACAAGGGGTCTAATAATTCAGGAGAGCTAATAATTCTGACCCAGGGTTACATTGTTGAGAACCAAGAAATATGTACCCTGGGTACATATATGTACCTACAGTTTTGGTTTTTACAAATCCACTAGAGGCCGGATTTGTGAAATTTGTCATAACATTACTTGGGCACATTTCCTCATATGTGCCATTTTTTGTAAATCCGCTGTGTACATTCCTGTAAATCTCAACGTCCTCCTCACGCACATATATGAGAAAAGCTGATTGGCTTGTAGATGTGCATAATACTGTAAATCAGCTTGATATTGACCAACCGTCGTCTTCCCTAAACCAAACTGATTGTGTTTTCAAAATCACACTAGAAGAGAAAAGCTATCACCACCACTTCTTTATTATGGTTTCATTTTACCACCTGGTTTCTGGAACAGTCCTTCACCAGACCCAAACCACAGTTTGTTTCATTCTGCATTCGTGGTGAGCTATTAAGCAAACCAGAAATGCCAGAAAAGCCGTTCATATGGAGACGAGCAGTAAGCTTTACTGCCCCATAGCATTTGTTTTAAACACAAAATACAGCCATATGCACCTGCATTCAAACATTTCTCGGTTCTCAAAAATATAGCTCCGTTCACATAATCCCTGATCCTGCTTTAGACATTTTAAATGCATAGACGACATTTTTTTAACTATCTTTGTTATGACAACTTGACATAACTAAATACATCAAAACCTGTCTTTATCTTTACCATGATAGCTTGACACTATCAAGACAATATAACTTGTCATAAATCTTTCATAAACATGATAGTCATGAGACCATTATAAATGGAATATAAATTGTATAGCAGCATCATTATTTTTTTTTTCTAGACCTTGACTGCAATGGTACAAATTGAATTTGTCATTAAAATGTCATTAAGTATTTATGAAATTGTTAATTTATTTGTCAGGGTATTGACGCTTTTACTTAGAACTTTTAATGACACAATTTTTTTTTCACTAAAAAGTGATCAGAAATATATTCATGGCACATTTATAATGGCCTCATGACAATCATGTCCAATTTATGATGGGAATTGTAAGTTGTCATGACAAAGACAAGCTGTGATGTACTGTACTTGTTTATGTCAAAGACATCTCAAACAATGCTATCTTTGCATTTAAAATGACATAACAGTTGTCATAAGCATGTATAACATCTTCGTTTTCATGACGTGCCATGTGATGATTATAAAGGTGTCATGACAGTCTTATGAACACTCCCTTTGAGTATAGTGTTGCTGGATATTTATAAATAAGGCTTTGTACATGTTTTTTTCAAAAATATATATTTGCATTTAACATTGTATTCACAGAGTTGTAATATTTAGTTTATATTATGTTTCCTTATCTCGAATTTTTGGGGATCCTGGTTGATCTTTTTCTTTTTTAAAAATAAAGAATTGACTTGCAGATTTTTTATGCAGGAGTCTATAAATACAGTAGATAGTTAGATAAATACTGTAGATAGACAGACAATGTATACATTTTACTTTCTTCTTTCCTCTTTTCTTTTCTTCTTTTTGTTGTCATCCTCACTGCATGCCTAGTCAAAGCTACCATCTTCAGACCTCTAGGGAAATCCATCCCAGCATCACACTGGAACCGTCGCCCAACTACAACTCCCCCAAATTCCGCTCCAGGAACCAGAGCTACATGAGAGCGGTCAGCACCCTGAGTCAGGCCAGCTGTGTCAGCCAGGTCAGCCAGGTGAGAGACACATCTGCCCGACTTCACTGTGTTCAAGGTAATCCAGGACTTTTTACACTCACAGTCACAGTGCAGAAAAACACAACACAAACAGAGGATTTAGAGCCCAGTTTCCCATTTATATCAAATATAGTGTTATTGTGCTTGCCGGTTTTTAAATTGTCAGATGTATCAGCAGCTAACATCTAAACCGCTCTTTTAAAGTGAAGTAATGGGGGTTGTATTGATTTGGCTTGAGGTCTTACAACTGGGTTTTTATTCTCGAGACCCTGATTTTTGCACACACGCTTACTCTAGACTTCTGAGAATCGTCAGTGGCTTGCTGCGGTCATTAGGGGATAATTCCCTTTCAATGGAACGCGATGGATTTTAGAGATTGCTAAATGGGAATCTGATGGCTTGTTAGAATCCTATCAGGCGAGTTCAGCTCGACTAGACAGATATCGCTTTATCACTGACATTCTCATCTCAGATTTTCCGAAGCGATCTAAGCAGGTATTGCTCAGGAATGAGGAGGATTCAAGGAAAGCATTTCATTTCCTCAGACTTCAGCAGGAAGACTTAATGTTTTATCCGCAGAGATTGTGTTGTGACCGTATCGCAGTTTTTATCTCACGTACAGTCCTGTGTAGATAAGATTAGACTGTTCGCTGGGACTAAGGGAGAAATATAGGCCCAACAGCAAATAAAGCCAAGAAAGCAGCCGTGGGAAAAAAAAAGAAGTTGGTCTGAACATGCTGAGATGTGTTGTCTGGGTTTTTCTGGTTCTGCAGGTGAGCGAGACCGAGGTCAATGGGCAGTTTGAGTCGGTGTGTGAATCCGTGTTCAGTGAGGTGGAATCTCAGGCCATGGACGCTTTGGACTTGCCGGGCTGCTTCAGGACACGTAGCCACAGTTACCTGCGAGCCATCCAGGCCGGATTTTCCCAGGACGATGACTGCGTCCCCTCCATGACATCATCTACTGTCACATCCACCATCAGGTCCACCACAGGTAAGTGGGCTTTCTAGGTGGATAGCCATGCGCCCCTGTGTCTGGTCTTGGCTTGTGTTTGTGTCAAAGTACAAGTTGCAAGATTCCAAAAAACTTTTTAAATAAAAATAATAAATAATATATATTTTTTATTTGTTAAAACTGACTTTGGTATAGTAGAGTTTGATGAAATAGCAATGATTTATTTTATTTATAATACAGTTTTGTGGGACTGAGGATCTCTATGACAGTGAGACTTTTTACAATTTAAGAAGCCGATCACACCAAACGTGCTTTTTGTTTAGAGGATGATTTTTTGGATGATTTACTTACGGCCATGAGCGTTTTGCACGCCTCAAGTTTTAACCCCCTGCTGGGCCTAATGTTTTTCCCATGCACGCTGTGTGCTTGCAGTTGAAAAAAGTAAACTCTGAGCAGAAAAGCGAGTTACGTCAGTTGCGTCTTTTTCATTCTCCAATCAAATGAAAGCAGAGGTGGGGATTCCATTGAGGTGACTGCAGTGTTTGTCAAGACGACTATGGAGACTTTTAAAGATAGAGGAGAGTGATTAGTGGTTACTGTTTTGAGTTATCCGCAGCAAGAAGGTCGCTGGTTCAAGCCTCGGGTGGGTCAGTTGGCATTTCTGTGTGGAGGTTGCATATTCTCCTCATGTTCATGTGGGTTTCCTCTGGGTGCTCCGATTTCCCTCACAGTCCAAAGACATGCGCTATAGGTGAATTAGGTAAGCTTAATTGTCTGTAGTGTATGAGTGTGAATGAGTGTGTACGGGTGTTTTACACTGATGGGTAGCAGCTGAAAGGGTAACAGCTGGAAGGGCATCCGCTGCATAAAACCTATGCTGGATCAGTTGGTGGTTCATTCCACTGTGGCGACCCCAGATTATTAAAGGGACTAAGCCGAAAAGAAAATAAATGAATGAATGGATGAATTAGTTAATTAATTAATTAAAATTATAACAAAATCAACAGAAACACTCGGGCACAAAAGGCAGCTGATTCAGTCGTTACCTAGTGACATAAAAAGCGCACCACACTTCTTCTTTTTTTCTTGTCACAAAAAGGCATTGCAGTGTGCCTCGCGCTTTTGGAAAGTAAAAGCGTGTTCGGTGTGATCGGCCCTCACTTATGACCTATTAAAGTTAATTGCTAACTGATGTGTCAACTGACTTAATTTCTGTTTCAGTTTCATTCTGATCCTAAAAGGCATACCTGAGTCAGTTTTACAACTGTAAACATTAAAATGATGAATGAGCAATTTGATTAAGAAAATGTCAGTTTAGAAGCAAGAGCACTTCATTTCATGAATTTAAGATCTGCATGGCTTAATTATTGAGTGTAGATGCAGAACTCATTGAAATCGTTACAAAATGAAAAATATAAAATGAAATTCAGAATGGAGGAAAAGCTGTTCATCTTAATGATGATTTATTCTTTAATATAGCACTGTATTACGTGTGGCATGGCATGCATGCATGTGAACGGCTTGCAGCAGAGTGGTTGTTTTGTGTACGGCTTCTTAACCCAGAGGTAAGTGCTGGTGTGCCTCAGAGCATAAGAATATGAACCCTATTGAATTCAATCCCCAAATATTGTGCTCAAAAATAAATACATAAAATGGTGAAAAGTGAAACATCCCCTTTTTAAAATACTGTATCCAAATTAAGATATGACCTTTTTTATTCTTCCACTGTGTGTTTTGTCTCTCAAGATTTTCAATTTGGATCTCTACCTTGTCCTATTTTCTGCCTCAGTTGACTCTTGGCTAACAGACAGGGAGGGGGTGAAAAGCAATGATGGAGACACAAGGTGGTGTGTATTGCGATCCCAAAATGTTTCTCAGTCGGATGATTGTCACTCTGTGGGCTCTCTGTTTCTCACTTTCGCACATCTTCTAGTCTCTCTCTCTCTCTCTGTCCCTCTCTCGCTTTCTCTTCTGGGCGTGAAGGTGGTTTTAAACGCATCAGTTTTGAGTTCTCTCTCCCACAGGGTCCGCAACTGAAGCTGTGCTTGTTTAAAGGGTCAGTGGTGAAACAGGCCCCTTAAATAAATAGAATTAAATGCATCAGAGTCTAATCCCTGGACATGTGAGGACTAAGGCCAAAAATCAGTTTAGACGAACATTATGCTAGCGTTTTTGCACTGCCTTCTCACTGATATATGCTTGAAGTATTATGAGCAATATTGGCTTTCTTATAAACAGAGTCTCTTTTTGAGCTTAATTTGAATCAATTCCTAATAGTAAATGCCATATATTATGGAACAGTGACTGGGCAAGGAATATCTTAAAGTATACAATCACTGATCACCAAAATTTCAAGTTAACTTATTGCTAAAGCAATGAGCAAATAGTTTTGTTTGAATTTGGCTGTTTGTGTGTCGAGGTACCGGTTAAAAACAATGATTCCCCCAGTAAAGACCTGGTCAGTGATGTGTCAAAGTGGACCTCTCATGTTCAATAGGGTTCATACCTGCTTTGCTGAGACACACACACACACACACACACACACAAAAAGAGACTGAAAGCTTTTGCTCGCAATTGCCTCCTTTCAAGGCACAAAACACAGACCTGCTCTGTCAGAGGGACCTGATGATGCTCTATAGATGCCATTGTTATTATCCCCTGCAGGTGTCCTCAGGCTTCAGTTCTCTGTTTTGTGCTTTGAGAGATATGCAAATAGAGGATGGAGTGAGAAGGCAGAGTAATAACAGAGAAAAAAAGCTGTGAGTCAAAATGGGATCTGTTTGGTAGCATGATCGCAATAACTCAAAATAACTAGCTCCCGTCATCTAAAGCAGAGGGAGCTGAGATTGCATTGGTTGCATACTGAGCAAATCTCGAAACAATCTGTGAGATTTTACAAAGCCCTTTGATTTGCTAATTGCATACATCCCTGAATCTCTTTCCTGCAAATAATTAACTCCCATATCCATTCATTTTAATCTGACCTATGTGATCCTTCATACACAAAAAAATTTAACCTTGATCTGGCCCGAAACTTATTTTGGCTCACATATATTTGGTTGAATAGAGCCTGCAAACTGCACAAATCCCAGCTGGCTTCACCGCTGGGCACATTATATACAATGGCATTTTTATATTTTTCTTCCAGAGGGAAATGATGTGCTGGAGGGCACTGGTTTGCTTAATGAGGACAATTTACCCAGCGAGGGGCCAGACTTGACCTCCATGGCCCATGGCAATACGGGCTTCCGCAGGAGAGGAGATGAATCAGGCACCCTTTATGGTAATGGCTCACCATCCAGGACTCCCTTGTTTCCCCCATTGAAAACGAGTGCACCCATCAGGCCACGGCCTGTTCAGTCAAGTGTCCAGGAGACGGCAGATCTGGCCCTGGCCATCAGCCAGCAGTGGAGAGAGGATGTGTCAGCCATGCGTAAGGAGTTAGCCGAGCTCAGGAAGGATCTGTGCACAGAGCTCAGAGCCTTTAACAGGAACTTTTCCACCTTTACACAACATTACAGCACATGGTCACCGAGCTGTGTGAGGGAAACCCAGACAGCTGCACCTCAAGTGTCTGTCAGCACCCAGGCAGGAAGCAAGACCCTGGTGCGTCAGAACACAGCGGATGCAGCGGTTAACTGCCCATCACCAGTTGATCCCAGTGTTTTATCCATGTCTCCCTCTGAACCTGCAGATAGAAACGTTCTGCAGGTCTCAACGTCATCACCATTTTTTCAAACTGACCCCAACTCTGAATTAGCAGACATTGATGATCCTACTTTTGCTAATCTTACCCCTCCAGATCCAGTTGATGTTACATCGCTTTGTTGGCCTGATCTAGATTCAGACTCTATGACTCCTCCTGATCCTCCAGAACCAGTACCAGAAGTAGAATCCTATTGCTTTACAAAGTCATCCACTCCTGAGCATGTTGAATCAATTGTTTTAGACTTTACAAATGTAGAGCTTGTGAACCTGGCCAGTTTGCAATGGCCTAAACTGGATCCGGAAGATACTGGCTCTTCACTACACGAATCTCTCGATCAGCCCTCTCCGGGGTCTCCGGAAGAGCTTGGTCCATGTACACCCGAGCTTGTTATCACAACTACACAGGAACGGTCAGTCCTAGAATCAATGCAACCATTGTTGCTGAGTCATTTAGATGAAGAACAAATAGACTTCACATTGCCCGAACTGGACCCCAGTGTTCTGAGTCCATTGACCTTGGATTCTATGAATCTTCATGACTTAAAATGGCCAAGTTTAGAATCTCTCGAACTCAATGTTTCTGGCTCTCAAAGCCCAGGTCCTTTAGATCTAGCTTTGCCAAACCCTCCAACTCCAGAAACTGTCTACACATGCTCCTTTGAGTCTACAGCACAAGAACCACCCCTTCCAGAACTTTTGGACACCATTTATCTCCAGCCTGCCACACCAGAGCCCGAATCGCGAACAGACTCTGACATATCAAACCCAGCAAGCCCCGAACCTCATTTTCCCACTTGTCAAAAGTCAAGTACACATGAACTAGACTCTCAGGCTCTTGTTTTATGGTCCAAAAAGGACACATTCATGATCTTTCGAGAAGAAGATGGTGCAGAGTCCTGCTCTGAAGAGAAAGATGGTCAGAATGTAGCTTCTTCTGACACGATGATTAATTTTGCAGTCCAGTCAGACGCTGTTGACTCAGGTCCTCTTGAGTCTGAGACTCTTTTCTCTGCCGTTCTGTGCTCAATTGAGTCAGACACTTTCGATCCTGAAGTCACGAGCATGGATGAACCAACAACACAAGGGTCGAATCCACCCGGACTTGCCACCATAGACCCAGCGACTGTGCACCCCTTCAATTTATCCCTGCTGGAGCTTCAGTCGGCTTTAGATGTGTCTAAGAGCGAAACAAGCGATAATGGGTCACCAAAGGGAACAGCAGCCATAAGCAGCCCTTCTTATTCTCCATCCCGTAGGGATTTTCTGTGGATTCGGTGGCAGCGGAAAACGCGTGGACGGCAGCCAATGTCACGGAGTGCCAGTATGGAAATTTACCACAAGAAATACTCAAACAATTCAGAGATGTCTTATATGTCACTGTCACTCTGAGCTCTTCGAAAGTGCATGAAGCTACACGGGGTGTGCAATAGATAATCATAAGATGTAATATTTGCTGACAGAATACAAGACTGTTAAGTTATGTAGCAAGATGTTTACAGGTTTGTGTCTCTCCAAAGTGTGTGTGTGTAATTATATAAAAGAGAATGAGAAGTAGAGAGTGTGGAAAGGACAAAAGATGAAGGGGGTTGCTACATTTTAGGCATGGATGAGGTTATGAGAGAGGTTGTAGCTAAAAGCAGTCTGATGACAAAAATGGCACTGCATTAGTGTACTTCAGACATTCAGCACCTATTTACTCTGTGAAACCAGTGAGTCACCTTGAACTTCACTCCTCTCCAGGGACATTCTTTACAGAGACTCAGATGTATTTTAGTAAATACTGTGATTGTTTTTTTGGCGGAGAACGAAGACTTCCAGTCAAGACACTCTTGCCAATAAACTTTAGAAACTACCGAGTAAACTGTAAAATAAATCTCTGTACAAACCTATCTTGGATCAACCAGGAATTTGTACCTTGGTCATGTTCTGTGAGGGCGAAGGCATAGGGATAATCCTTTTTCAGATGGAACAAGACTGAATGTTGGCCAAAGACTACCTGAAACAACTGCTTGGATACATTTTATGGATTTTTGATAATCTGTTTTTTTCTCTGAATGTAATGTAATGGTCATTTTTCTGGTGTGAATAATGGAATCCTTTATTCCATTTAACTCAAAGTCTTCAGAGCCAAAGTCTCACTGTAAAAGTGGAGGACAATTTAGTACTGTGAATTTTCCAAAGACACGACGGCTATGTTATGATACTGTGTAAAGTGACTGATTTTCTTTTTCTCTTTTTTTTTCTTTAAAACCTATATCTTGAGGGGACGTTGGACATGCTGAATGTGATATTTTTTGATTCCCTTTCTGGACATATATGGAAATATTTGAGATTTTAATATTGAATCACTATTTCTTAAAATGACTTACATTTACAGAGGTCCGACGTACTGTTAGTCTGCTCTGTTTACTTGAATAGGAGCATGTAGTTCATTATACAGTTTATTTGATTTGGGAAATAGATCTACAGGCCACAGAAATGCATACTGGTTAGGAAGTAAGTCCTGTGGTCTAAACAAACAAATTGAAGGGACTGTCCAATATTTGTACAGTTAGCAGTAAACAAAATTTATCATGCACACTTCTTACAAATCCATGCTAATCTTTCAAATCCACATATATTATTATAAAAGAGATACTACATACTGTTTGCTCTTGAAACACAAGTATAATATATTCCACAGGGATTCCCTCTTTTATTGTACATATGCAGCCGATTGTATCCTGTGACTTTTTTCTCTTCAAATATTAATAACATTACAGACACAACAGCTCCATGTGTTAAAAAATGATGCCAGTTTTTTTGAGCCAGTATAGTGACTAAAGATATCAATGCCAAATCAGCAGTCTAAATCTATTAATATCAAAATTATGTACGTATCAGGGTACTTACGGAAACACTCCGGCTATCCCTGTTATTAACTGGCATTAATGGGCTATATGCACAGCTAGTAATTTTTCAGCCGGTGAGAGCATTATATGACTATTTTAAATTTTATAAGGTTCATTTTACAGCATCGATGTATATGTATGATAGACATAAGCATCCATTAAGTTGTTAAAGCGTAAATAGAGACGAAAACTCATGCGCCGTCATTAGCAGCAGGCCAGCGCAGAAACTCCATTGAAAATATTAAGGTAAAATTAATTAACATATTTTAAAGACATGGCACAGAAAAATATAATTTAATGCAGTGTTTTTTTGTTTGGTCTGATACCAACTTTATATCGTATCTCAGCCAGGCAGTAAAGATCTTTTTAAAAGAATTCACATCTTAACGCAGTAACCGGAAGCACAGAGGCTGGCTAACTGAAACTAAAAGTCTGTGTGCATATACCTAATTCACTAAGGTGGTATTGACAAATGTAGAGCAATGGACTTGTATCTGGCAATCAGATGAAATTTCAAAACCAGATACAGTGATCTTTCATTTGCTAGCAACAGTTTTACATTAAATTGGTTTTAAAATAAAAGTTCCTAAGGGAGTTAATATAGTTGAGACTACAGAATAACATTATTAAATCAAATCAAATCACTTTTATTGTCACATCATCAGCAGCACGTCTGCTATGATGAGTGAAAAGCAGACAGTACAAAATACAGACAGTGCAAGTACAACGACTCCCAAAAAGAACAGGAAAATGTAAAATGGACAGCGATATGTGCAATGAATAGGTGTTCACAAAGTTGTAGTCAGTATTGTTTCAAGATAGGCAGTATTGTTTTATTGTTATTATTTGCAGTGAATGTATTTTTATTTTCCATCAAGTGGTTGTAGCTAATTGCATCTAAATGTATTTAGATTTGTTCACTTGTTGTTGTTTTTAGTAAAAACCTTGAGTTTCAAGGCTTTCAGTTCGTTTGTAGTTAGATAGCCAACCGAAAGATGTTAACAGTGTGTTTTGAGAACAGTGCATATACTGGATGGTCTTAAAAGCTTTCGAAGACTTTAAATGTGTTTCCCTACTAATTCAACCTAGTTACATATCTTTAATCTGTAAATATTTAATGTTGCAATGGAAATCTTGGCTAATTCCCAGTTCGCATGCCACTACTAAGTATGGTATGGTCATTAAACTACACCCATTACAACTCAACAACCATGATGTGTGTAGTGTAGTGCAACAAATTGTGGAAAATACTCCTCAAAAAGCACATAAAGATGCATACAGTATTTTGAACATTCACTGGACACAGTTAGCAGATTTAACCTACTATTTCCACATATTAGGAGGATGCTGATCCTTATATCACATACTATATAGTATGCCAAGCATGCGTATTGGGATTTAGCCATTGCTAACAGGTCTTCCTTTATCCATAACAGAGCTCTCAGGCCTTATTTTACAGCATTGTCCACACATTGCCCTCTTCTGTGCTGGAGAGCTATTTCTTGAGTAATAAAAGTGGGTTTTACAAACATATCTAGAACAGACCCACAGGTGCTTAAAGTACAGGACAAAACTGACTGTAGCAACTCTGGACACGCATTAAGACGCTCACTGGTCCCATTTCTACAATATGAAGTCATTGCAAGTCATTTCAGTGGGCAGGAAATACCTGACAGAGCCTTATGGGTCATTTAAGTGTAGTAAAAGCAGTGTTTCTCTTATTGGAAGGGTTTCCTGGTACTGCACATTTCATTGGCTGCTTGTGCATTGTGTGCCTTGTCTTGCTCATGAATGTGGGCGTTTAACCACCCAGCCTCAATATTGTTGTGCCACTGTGATTTTATCCATTGATTTAACTCTTAATGGCTTCAAAATTCCAAAATGAAAGCACTTTGACTGTAAGGTTTCAAATATTAACCACAGAGACCCGAAGCCTGAAAAAAAAACATGTGAAAACAAGCCTCTTTATCTCTGTGTATCTTCATTTCTGTCAGCTGATTGTTGTTGTTTATTTTCCTGAGATCATCCTAAATGTCTGCAATCACGATGATCTGTACCTAAGTGAATGTTAATTATTTCTTTAAATAATAAAATGACAACTTTTACATGAGCTGTTTTAGACCGTTGCATGGTGGTCTCTGAATTAGGAGTGTACTGTAAGCTACTAAACCTCTCTCTACTCATTTCTCTTCACAAACACACACACACACACACGTGCACATTTGTTTGTTTTCTCTTTAACTGGTAAGAGTTATACTACTTGATCTGCTGTAATAATAATATTAATTTCCTTTTGTAGGCCTATGCAAAGTTCATAGCTGAGCAAATTGCCACAAGCAGTAACACTTTCGATGTCATAGTAAATAATCCAGCGTGACGTTATGCAAAAGCGCGAATTGATGAGAAGGTTCTGCATGGCGATTGGGGATTATGATTTCGATTCTGATATTGTTAGCTTTACTAGAACTTGAAGATTTAATTCAGGTTGAAGTGATTTTTTTTGTACTACTTTTTTTTGTTGCGTTGAGGGTTTGGGATATTGCTTTTCTGTGGTGTATGGTCTTTAAAACACACAGTGGAAGAATGTTTTGTGTTCATTTGGAACAATGATCACTTTTCATCAGGTGTTTCTATTTTTTAACAAGCTTCTCGTGAATAGTTATTGTCAAGGCTCATGATGCAGAATTGAGCGTGTTTGTACTGAGCTCAGAATGACGTGTGTATGTATGTTGTGTTTGTCTGTTTTGTCTGTCTGCGGTGTGAGAATGTGGTCTGGCTTCAAAAAGTTTGTGTATGTTTGCTTGTAGGAATTCAGTTCCATCTCCCTTCTTCAGGCAGTGTGGATCGGCCATCCCAACAACCACCAGGTAAAGACACCCCAATCATCTTTTCATATTTACTCCAACTAGTTGTTAAAAAACAACATATTCTCTTATATTTGTTCATTATTATGATTTTACTTTATTTTAAAGTGCATGCATTTACATAAACACACTGTGTGCTTAAAATATACTTGACAAAGAAAGTACTGCTAAAGATAACTTCATAAGTCAATGCTAGTGCGAACCCTGAACCTGTCCCAAAAACTAACTGCCCGTTTATTGTAATTATTATAAAAATATTTTTTAATTATAAATAAATGAAATATTTTAAGATTTAAATGTTTATTGTGTGAAACAATATTTTCAAAGTTTATATATAATATGTTTAAAAGAATTTCTTTGAATGCTGTTTTCTGATTGCATTGCAGAATTATGGGTAATGTAGTTTCTCACTTGGATATCAGTGTATAATATAAACCCGAGATTAACTAATCCAGGTGATGACTTACCCAAAAGCATATATTATTGATTAATATTCATTATAAAGGTTTGTAAATTTTTAAAAAATCAGTTGAGCTATGAGGAAAAGAAAAGGTATTTTAATGTCCAGAACACGATTCTATTTGGTCTAAGACCTTTTATTGATGTTCAGTATTCAAATAAAGTGCTTTAAGGACTGCTGGAGTATTTTTCTAAATTAGTCTTTGCTCGAAATCATCCCAAAAGTGTATTGGGTTGATGTCGAACTCTGTGCGGGTCATTCAAGTTCCTCTACACCAGGGATCACCAAACTTGTTCCTGGAGGTCTGGTGTCCTGCAGATTATAGCTCCAACCCTAATCAAACACACCTGAACAAGCTAATTAAAATTTTACTAGGTATATTTGAAACACCCAGGCAGGTGTGTTGAGGCAAGTTGGAGCTAAACCCTGCAGGGCACCGAACCTCCATGAACAAGATTGGTTAATCCTGCTCTACACCATTTCTTTATGGACCTTGCTTCGTGCACTGGTGTACAGATGGAACTGAAGAGGCCATACCCAAACTTTTCCCACAAACTTGGAAGCATAAAATTGTCCGAAATGTCTTGAGATAAAATTTCAAGAATGGACCTATTGCACAGGTGGCAACCTATCAATGTACCACACTTGACAAACGTTCACAAACGTTTTTAGACGCATCTTCATGACTTGGTGCTTGATTTTTTTACACCCGTGGCCATGGAAGTGTATGGAACACCTTAGTTCAATGATTAGGAGGGGTGTCACTTATTCCCAGTGCTTTATGTGAGTGGGCGGAGCTATACTGAACTCGTTTGACATTTTATGTATAGCATTGTGAGCAATGCAATAAAAATTATGGTACAAAAGTTATTTCTGGGGTGACGCGGTGGCGCAGTAGAAAGTGCTGTCGCCTCACAGCAAGAAGGTTGCTGGTTCAAGCCTTGGCTGGGTCAGTTGGCATTTCTGTGTGGAGTTTGCATGTTCTATCAAGCGTTCGCGTGGGTATCCTTCTGGTGCTCTGGTTTCCCCCACAAGTCCAAAGAAATGCGGTACAGGTGAATTGGGTAAGCTAAAATTGTCCGTAGTGTGTGTGAATGAGCGTGTATGAGTGTTTCCCAATAATGGGTTGCAGCTGGAAGGACACCCACTGCGTAAAAACATGTGCTGGATAAGTTGGCGGTTCATTCCGTTGTGGTGACCCCAGATTAATAAAGGGACAAAGCTGAAAAGAAAATGAATGAATGAATAAAGTTATTTCTGGCGTGATATTTTTTTTAAGGTACACATTTGTACCTAACAAGTCCACATTGGTACCTTAAAGGTAGTAGTACCTTTACTCTACATCAGGGATATCAAACTCTGCAGCCCTGCACAGTCTAATTCCAACTCTAATTAAACACACCTGATCAAACTAATTGAGTCCTTCAGGCTTGTTTGAAACCTACAGGGAAGTGTAGGCTGTGACCCTCCAGGAATTGAGCATGACATCATTGCTCTACATGTTAAAACCTAAGGGTGTACTCACACTTGACTATCCGAACCATGCCCCAGCACGTTTGACCCCCATTTCCCTGTTCG